CAGTCGACTACATGGGAGTCCAGTGACATAGCCATTACGCCAACTCCTGGTCCCAAAACCTTCTTTTTTTTAAGTGAGAGTTTCAGAGGTCAAATGGCCCTCACTCATGGTCCATGTTAGTCATTATCATAACTAAAATCTGAAGACTTACTTCTTACTCTGGGCCATTACAATGTAAATAGACCTTATATTTTAGGGACCCTAGAAAATACATTATGGGGTTTTTGCTGGGTTTCATCCACAGTGGCTATACATATTCCCACATTCCCACCAACAGTGTAGGTGAGTTCCCTTTTCACTGCAGCCTTGCCAGCACTTCTAATTCTCCAATTTTTAAATCTTCACCATTCTGACTGGGGTTAGGTGGGATCTCATTGTGGTTTTGATTTGCATCTCCCTTATGATAAAGGATTTTGAACACATTATTTAAATGTTTCCAGTCACAGCTACTAATACACCGACTTATGTCACTTTGTGACAATTAAGTCACCCATATGGGTGCTCAGGTTGCAGTAGATTAGGTGGCTTAACCAATAGGCCTTTTTTTTCTTTTTTTTTTTCACAGAGAAGTCCAAGATCAAGGTGAGTTCAAATCTGGCTCTTAGTAAGAGCCCTATTACTGGCTTATAGATGGCTGATTTCTCACTGTGACCTCACAGGGTGGAAAAGGAGCACTCTGGTGTCTCCTCTTCCTCTTATAATTTTATCATGGTTTTAACTATGAAAACCTCTTGCTCACCTAACTATTTCTCTAAGGTCCCACTACCTAATATCATCACATTGAGGGTTAGAGCTTCAATGTATGAATTTTGGAGGAATACACGTATTTGATTCATGATAGTCAGTCTCTGGATTCCCAAGATGCACATTCTTCACACATGTGAAATATATTCATTCCATTCCAACAGTGTGCAGTCTTAACTCATTGCAATGTCAAGTCCAATATCTGAAGTACAAGTCATATTTAAATACCATCTAAATCAGATATGTGTGAAATTCCTGGTATCGTTCATGCTGAAGCAAATTCCTTTCCAACTGTGAACATGTGAAATCAAACATGTTTTGTTCTTCCAAAATACAACGGGAGGACAAGCTAGACATTCCCATTCCAAAAGCGAAAAATTGGAAGAAAAAAAGCGAATCTCCCAAACAAGTAAAATTTAGCAAGGTAAATACCATTATAACTAAAATCTTAAGGATAATCCCCTTTGGTTTGATGGTTGTCTAAGAGTGTCATTGAGTAGTTAGAAGAAGGAGGACCTGAAACACAAGACCAACCAAAGAGAAAAGTAGTTCTTGGTATATGTAATGAATAGGGAAATAGCTTGTAATTTGACTTCTTTTTTTTCACTCTTTCACTGAACAGAATTTACAGAACATCTATGATGTCCTCAAGTGGGTGTTTACTATTTTTCCTCAATTCTGCCTGGGTCAAGGACTTATAGAACTCTGTTATAATCAGATAAAATATGACCTGACCCACAACTTTGGCATTGATCCCTACGTGAGTCCTTTTGAGATGAACTTCCTGGGCTGGATCTTTGTGGAACTGACCTTGCAGGGCACGATACTTCTTCTTCTGAGGCTTCTACTGCAGTGGGACCTTCTGCAGTGGTCCAGGTATGTTCCAAAGCAGATGATTCTTGAATGGCACTGACTCTTGAATAGAGAGAGGGAGACAAAAACCCAATCTACAGGCTTTAAGATAGGAAATTTGTCTGATCAGTACTATATGTGATCCTAAAAAATTAATATTGCATTGCATATATACATTTTTTTTTGGTTGGTGTCAGTCACCAACTGTGCGAAGAACAATTTTCGAAGATTAAGTGCCAATCTGTGAGATAATCTTCCCACTTTGTTTATTTTTCATTTTGAAATTGCTTCTTTTCCTGTTGCTTTGTAGCATCTAAGGTGAATTTGGTTGATGTTATAATTTATACTTGTGACTAAATACCATTAACTCCTAGAACTATAAAGATAAAGAAATTCACTGTAGAAAAGTAAATGGACTTTGTCACTCCCCGTTGCTTCTGTTGCTATGGCCTCATGTTTGTTAGGGAACATGAAAGACAGGGTACATGTGGATGCACATGTAGCCAACTGCTGGTCCCAAGGGACCTGGGGAGTTTTATAAAGCTTCCCAGGTAGTTCTCAGGAAGAGAGGATAAGAGCTGCTGATGCAACTGTGGAACTGGGTGGGGACAGCAGCATTTTCCTGGTGGGGAGACAAAAGAGCCCCAGAAGGGCCAGGATGGGGAAAAGAACAAGAAACACCTTCATCTAAAAAGGGAAAATCTTTCAGGCAGGAAAGTACACCATTTGGTGAATTCTTACAAATCAAACACAATCACATAACCCCCTCATTAGGACATTGAATACTCTCAGATGAACCCTCATAAATCTCTTCCAACCAGCAGCCATCCTGTAGGTAACCGCTGTGCTTACTTTCATCTCAATTTCTTCATTTTAATGCTTTTGAAGGTTGCAAAAATAATAGTGTATAACGTGCTCCTGAGTCTCCAACATTATTTAATCTCATCATCTATGTTCTATGTGGAATGAGTCACATATTTGTCAAATGGTGATCTCAGATATGGAAATTAACAGAGAGAGAACCAGGGAATCCTGTTGCCTGGCGATGACTATCTTATTTTATTTTTAGTATCTTTTTATTTTGAAATAGCTTAAGAATCATGAGAAATTATGAAATTAGTACAGAAAGTTCCTATGTACATTTCTCTCAATGATGCTGTGATAAAAAATAAGTTACATAAAATTCAGGTCATTGATTTTGGTGATATTACTAACTCAGTGGTATCCATTATCTATTTATATAATAGCAATATATATCTGTATTATATATTAAAATATAATCACTAAATATATTTTAAGAATTAAATATGTTTTAAATGATTAAATATAATCATGAAAATTTTTAAAGTGTGAGTTTATTAGAGTGTATAGGGGATGTTGAAATTTGCTTGAAAGTTAATATATATACCTGATTGAAAATTATAAAGAAGATTGAAAATTGTGCAGCCCATATTTAGAGTGAGTAAGAGCTGAAAATTAAATTTGCATTCATCTGACAAATACTCATGGAATATTTCTTGCAAGGTGTTGTGCTAAGTGCTGACTATGCAGTCCTTTTCTATGATCCAACATATACTATATAACGTTATATACGATCTACTTTATTAAATGACCTGTTTATTGAAAGCACCTCGACAAGTTGATGCCTTACAATCATTTCATGATAATTTTTTATTTTTATGATTAGCACAAAAGTCTGACCTGAATTTAAATTAAAATGTAACTCCAGTTTAGTGTCAATCTCTTTAAGTGACTTTTAGGAACATATATATTTCTCTTACGTTAGGAGTGAAAATTGACTCTGCTGTCTGGCAATCTGTGATTGGGGTGGCAGGTCAGGGTTCTCTGGACAAAACTGATATTTTAGAGATCTGAAGACTACATACATACATTTTCTGTTTTCCCACTTGTCTGTCCCTCCTGTCTAGTAGGCTATTCCAGTATACTCTCCCAGGTGTGAATAAATGCTGACCTTTTCTTCCTAGGAGCCACTTTATCCCTCAAGACACAGTCAAATCTTCTAGGGATATAGATGTTGAAAATGAGCAAAGGAGGGTGTTGGAAGGAAGAACCAGTGGAGACGTCCTGGTACTACACAACCTTAGCAAACGTTATGGACATTTTTTTCAGAAGACAACCGCTGTGCAGGATATTAGCGTGGGCATCCCAAGAGGAGAGGTAATGAAGCATCGGTGTTTACCATCTTCTGTTGTCACCCTGTATACCTCTTGTTGATCATTCTCAGAATATCCAAAATCAGAGTCCAAAACAGCCTTCAAATTTCAGAATTTCATAAAAATTCATAAGAGGGAATCTGAATAGAGAAGGGGTCTTGGCTTATTCCATAGTGAAGACTTTGTTGATTGATTGATAGGGTTATTTTGTTTCATAATTTAAAAAATTTCATGTGATTGGAGTTTTAATTACTGTCTGGGCTAGGATGGCTTTTTATGAAGTGCAAATGTTCTATGAATTCAATTAAGAAACTGCTTTCATCTCTCACGTGGACTTCAGGGCTTCTTAAGTGTCCAGTTAAGCTCATCTAATGAACTGTTCCTCTGGAAACAGAAAAGGACACTAACGCACAATGGCTCAGAAGTTTGTTCATGGATATGGCATTAATTCCAGCTGAAATATTTAATCAGAACTGACAGAAGCCATACAAATTGTTCCTGATTTGTGCTTGATGCGTAAATGGAAATCAGTTCTGGAAATGATTACCTTTAATTAACTGTTAAAAATAAAAGAGCACCTTGCATTTGTATTGTTCTACACTGCTGAGAAATTTAAAGTAGCTTATATTGTTATTTGACTGACATCCATACCGTCCCTACTTGAGAGCTGAGAGAAGACATTTCAAATATAAGTATTTGAGGTGAATCAAAGAAAAGACTAATCTAAAGCAATTCAACAACACTCTTAGGCCCTGGACTGTGATTTCTGATAGAATAAGACAGAACATTAAGGAAGAATCTTTTTGTAGTTGTTAGCCACTGTTCTGTGACTAGCTATGCAGTCTTACCTATCTTATTGAACTATGCATTTTTCCCTTGCTTTAAAAATGAACATTAGTTTTGTCATTACCTCTCCTTGCAAGTTAAGCTGAGGAGTAAGAAAAATTTTTGAAAATTTCATAAGAACAATGCCCCAGGTATCTGAAATGATCCAAGATGTCATTTAAATTTGGGTTCTGTTACTTAAGCTTTTATGAGCATCACAGTTGAATGATCTGAATGCACAATGCTATGTGTTTGTGGAAAATAGAGAGATGACTAAGGTATGTCCCTATCCCTCTAGGAATTATAATTGCGTAGAAAACAAAAGATCATAAACATACATATAGCATTACATACCAGCAAAAGCATTGTCTCAGGGCAGGATGAGATGGAAAGGAACAGGAGTGGTCTAGTTTTTAGCACTGAACATCCAGAGGGGTGACTGGGCAGGAGAGGAAGGTGGTATGGCAGGACAGGCATATGGGAAGAGCTTTATTAAAAAGGCGGGCTGTATCTAAGCCTGAGACATGGATATAGTTCGAACTGGCTGATGGTGGTGTACCTTGAGACACTCAGCTCAGGTGTGATCTGTCTTTCAGCAGTGATAGAGGACAGGAATGAGGTGGGTACATATTTCAGATGGTGGGAGAGACTGAAGGGCATTGGGAGAAACATGGCAATTGAAGCAGGTAGCAACTCAGGGAAGCAGGGTCAGTCAGAGATATAAACCAGGGCTACATGGTAGTTTGCAGGGGCGGGAGGGCCTGGTGATTCAAGGAACAAGGAAGCTAGATGATGTCAGCAGACAGCAATGCCATGCCATCAGAAAACGGTGTCAAGGAGGGAGATTGGCAAGAATCAGAGAGACTTGGTCTCCCAGGTAGAATCGCAGGCAAATCTACATTGAGGTACAAGCTAAAGATTAGGTGTTGAAAAAAGAGAGACAATGTTGTCCATGACTCAACAGTGACGCATGAGTCCTCAGGAGGCCGTATGATGACTGTGTTTTGGTCTCCTAGTTAACTAAACACATGTACAGGGCATGTTTGAGTGCCCAGGTTCTTGAGAAACTGGATGGCTGGGAATAAGTAGATCCTATTGAGGGTCCTTCTCTTTTCTTGTTCTCACACTTGTATGCATACATGCTCATTAGCATTTAAAAAAATGTAAGAGTGGGACCAGCAGATGGCGTCATGGTTATGTTGTTGTACTCCCACGTAGTTGACTGTGGTTCAAGGCTCACGCCTGGGATGTGTCAGTGCATGCCCAAGATCCTGAGAGGAGAATGGAGGAGAAAGGACTGCAGCATGGCCATACCCCCTAGGGGATGATTTCTCACTTTCTGTCTCTCTGTCACTTTCTGTCTCTCTGGTGAGTGCATGTGCCCTACAGGAAAAAAAAAAAAAAAAAAAAGTAAGAGAATTCGACCATGCTAAGTGTCAAAGCATAGAGCCAGAGGTCATCTTCTTAATGTCAGGATTAGCCTAGGCTGAGTTTGGAGTGAATATACAACCTCTTCAGTGGGAAATAAAAAGGTACATGGGAGCTGTGAGTACCACATTTGTATATATACTAGACTAGGGGAGAATAGGAGATGGAATATTTTTAGAAACTACTTTAAAATGTACAAAAATGAAATCAGGAGAATAATAATTACTATGATGATGTGACTTGCAAGGAATATTATTTTTTTTCTGTGTAATTTGGGATAGTTAGTATTTCCTTTCATCCTCTTCAGTTTTTCATACACAAATTTATTTTTCTGTAAATCAATGCTGAATTTTTTTTTGTTTTTGAGAGGTTTTTACTATAGGGTGCGTGCACTCGCCAGAAAGAGAAAGACAGAGAGACAGAAAGCGAGAAATCACCCCCAAGGGGGGATGGCCACGCCACAACCCCTTCTCCTCCAGTCTCATCTCAGGATCTTGGGCAAGCACGCACACACGCCCGGTGTGTTTTAAGCCACCGGGTCCGCGACTCGAACCGCGGTCAAGTACATGGGAGTCCAGCGACATAGCCATTACACAACTGCTGGTCCCTCAATGCTGAAATTTTATACCACTCATGTGCCATGATGATTCTGAAAGTGCTTTGTGATCTATAAAGTGCTTCATATAATAGTGTGATTTAAGAAGTCTAAACATAGCACAAACCAAAAATACCAACTCAGTGTTGTCTGAAAACAAATGCTATTTCTCATATAATTCTGATTTTATTTAACTTTTTCTATTTGTTTAACTTGCATTATTTAATGTGTTTTTATTAACTTTATCTCCTCTTAGTGCTTTGGGCTTCTCGGGGTGAATGGTGCTGGAAAGAGTACTACATTCAAGATGCTGAGTGGGGAAGTTGCTCCGACTTCAGGGCATGCTATCATCAGGACTCCCGCGGGGTAAGATGCACATGTAATCATTTTTTCTACCTGAGGAGATAAGTCAGGCCCAGAGAACCCCCAACACTCCCTTAGTGCTATAGAATAAAGTCTGAAAATGTAAATGTAATTTTCCTCCAATTTGCTTTCAATGACCACTTCTCTAAAGAGGAAAAATAGTTTCTGAATATAAATGAAATAGCTCACTATTCTAGCCAGGGCAAAGGGTCAAGGAGCTCTTGTCACAAAGCAGAGGCAGATCTCTCTGCCAGGCCCCACAACGCATTTGAAGCTGTCAGCTTCTCTCTGCTATGTGTAACTCAGTGAACAGGAAATGGCCAGAGATGCTTCTTCTTGTTTCTCCTTGGATAAAGCCTCAATGTCCCCGCCAGTCAAGGTGTACCTAAGGGGGCAGATGGTGTCATGACCAGGAGTAAAATCTACTACAAGTGACTGGTGTCTTTTCACAGTCTCAGACTTTTATTTGCTTGTGGTTTAAACAAACTAAAATCAGTAGACACAGCTAATGGGTAAAATGCAGGTTCTAGAAAGAGTTGCGACTGGCATCAAAGTGAAAACCAAATTTCGGGACCAGCAGTTGGCATAGCGTCTATGTTGCTAGACTCCCATGTAGTCGACCGCAGTTCGAGTCCCAGACCCGGTGGCTTAAACTCACGCTGGGTGTGTGTGCATGCATGACCAAGATTCGGAGAAGAGAAAGAAGGAGATGGGATTGTGGCATGGTCATCCCCCCTGGGGTGTGATTTCTTGCTTTCTGTCTCTCTGTCTCTCTCTGTCGTTTTCTGGCAAGTGCACACACGCTGTAGCAAAATCCTCTCAAAAATATATTTTTTTTCTATGTGCCATGCAGTTATTAGGACTTACCGTACTTCCAGATAGGAACAAAGCCCTAAGAGTTGTGTATATATTACTTACATAACTACATATTAGCATATATAATTGACATTAAATACACTACCCACAATATAGTTAAATAGATAAGAAAAGAAAGTTAATAAACCAAGTCCCAAATCTCTAGGAGAGTGCAGAGTCCTGTGATGAAGGCTGGCCCTGACATTGTCCTGTCTTGCAGGGCAACTCGAGAAGGTAGTTTCCTTCTCAGGGGACACAATGCAGAGATTTCGGTATGAGAGATGCTCTGAGAGTACATGCACCATGCTGATAGCATAGGAGAGTCTTGGTCTGTGACTGGTGTTTTCATGTCTTCAGAAGAACAAATGTATTGCTTATCCAAGGTGCCATGTAGGATTCATCTGCGTGTTAGGCAAACAAGGACATTATAGGAGGGTTGGGGGTCACTCTCCCACACATGTCAGAATAAGTTTTAAGTATGGAATCAGTCTTGCTCTCTGTAAATGGATTCCCTTTTTCCTTTACCCAGATGTCTTCTTTCAAGTTGCCATCACTACTTTGGGCTGGGAGAAGAATAAACTCAGAGAAATGGCTTCTGGGGAGCAGGAAAAACACAGCAGTGCACTCAGGCTGCCCAGGGCTAGTTATTCCCACAGACTGCAGGCAACTCCCCTTCCCCTGCCCACATAGTATTCCTCTGTGTCACTGTCCATCAGGCCCTTCCACTCCTGGTCCATTCTGTTGATACTCCATTCCACAGTTCCCTCTAAGCTGTGTGCTTGGTTAGGAGCGACTCCTCTGGAAGAGGGACCTCAAGCCTTTTTTGCACATGCACGGCCATCCCCTTAGTGGCCTGTCTTCCCCTCTCCTCTGCTTCCATCAGCACAAATGGGAATGATTTTTCTCTCTCTGGACAGAAAAGATTTCCTGTTCTAAACCTCTCAGAGGCTGGATTTGATACTTAGTTCTTATTCTACTAGTTGGCATAATAGGAAATTTGTCTTAATAAAAGCACCAACTAAAATCCTACCCCTTTGTTTGACAGCTATTTTCTGGCTACTGCTTCTCCACAGCCGTCTCATGTACATCCTACTATGGATGTCCTTCTATCCCATCCATATTCAATACTGTGTTACAAAGCCCAAGCATAGGCCTTCTTTTTAATCCTACTACAGCAAAGTCATTGTAACTCGGTGATAAATTTCAAACTCTGCCTTTAGAATTACATAAGGAAAGCCATGTATCTTGCTCTTTATTCTCAGAAGGTCATTATGTAGCTACCAAATTCTCAATATCCTCTTTGATTTCACAATCTATCTACTGGGGATTTCAGAATCATTCCTAAACATACTTAGAAAAAGTGTGCTTTAGATTTTTATGTAAAGATTCAAATACAGTAGTTGAATAAACAGTTCAAAATATAGTGATTACCCATGCATTAGATAATTCTTTGAATCGACAAATATTTTTTGTCAATTTATGATGTGCCAAGCACCAGGAGGACAAACATTTCCCCTTGATTCTAAAATCTGGTGTCAATATTTGCATGTCTCCTACCAGTCTAATTTAAATATGCATGTATATCTGTTTGTATACATTGATTTGATCTGTTATCTGGGTATGGGTCTAGTATGGATATTTGTGTGAAGAGAGATAAGCATATTTCAAATCCAGGTAAGATTAAGAATACTATTTTGTATATTTTGTTACATTTATTATTTCATTAGCACTTGATTATTCTCTTCCATAATTATTATAAATTTTAAGTTTTTACAAATCTAAGGAAATGAACCTCACTGTTAAATTAATTTATACTTCACTAATAACCATGAATGTGAGTATTTTTCCTGTACTTGTTACATAGGTCTGTCGTGTCCTTCCTTCTTATTTATGTAAAGTTTCCTGTCTTTTTGTTACTTGTTAATGTGGGAGTTTTGTTTTTTATATGTCAAAGGGCACATATATGCATATGAAAGGGACAGAAAGAGAAAACCCTAAGGTAGGTTCTGGTCAATCCTTTTTCCACTGATTTTTCATCCTGTCAGGAGCCCGGGCATGTGTGTGTATGCTGGCCTATTTTTCAAGCCAGCAAGGCTAGTACTCAAACCCTGGTGGGCCATGTGGAATCTGGCTTCCTCTGAATGACACCTAACTATTGCGCTATGGGGCTAGCCTATTGTAGAGGTTCTTCATAAATTCTGTTGTTAGCTAATCTTTGCAGGTTTATGTATTTTAAGTATTCCCTTTCAGTGGCTCCTTGTATTTTAACTTTGTTTTAAAGTCTTACATGTATAGAAATTTTCAGTTTTCATAGTAATTTTTTTTCTGTTAGTTCTTACTTTCAGAATCTTAAAAAATTCTTCCCTGAGGTCATATATCTATTTTTCAAGGGTTTTTTTTACATGTATATCTTTATATAAAGTTTGTATTTGAATATGTTGTATAGTAGAATTTAATTTGATTTTTCTCTATCTAAGTAAATTCTAAAATACCATTTCTCAAACAAGGTATCTCCATCTATCAATTGACAATATCTCCCTTATCACCGCCAATGTTCTCATGTCTTCTGAGGGTTTTAGCTCACTTTCTCTCCTTTCATCATACTTCCTACTCGAGGTTCTTTCTGGGTCTCCAGATGCAGATTGCTTGGACTCTTTTAGGAACTTCATTATTTCATACTGTTTTTTAGAATCTTTTTTATCAGACTCCATAAAAACTCACAAAATTTGGATTTTGATGGCAAAGTCACCAAATTTATATTATGATTGGGGGAGCTTTAACATTACTATAATATTATGTGTGCCTTGACTATGTACATTGCCGTTTATTTAGACCATTTAAACACATCCTTTAAATATGTTTTGCAATTTCTCTATAAAATCCTTGTATATCTGCTGTAGACTTAACTCATCCAGATGAATTTGTCTTTGTCAGGAGGAAATTCATCTCTTAGTTTTTTGTTTGTTTGATCATTTGTTGTTGGTCGATTCTTCTCATGGCCTGGGGTTTTTCTCGTTTATATCGCATATGAGTGTGTTTTTGCCTTTGTTCTTTTTTCCTTGCTGGGTGTAAGGGAGGGCTGACATTCAACTTCATCTCTCTTAGGTCTTATGTAGGCTCTTCGAGCTGCATTGAGATTCCAAGTTAACATGCGGCAGATAAACAGGAGAAAGGCACACATCTTACCAGCTTTACGTGTATCCGGGGATCTCCACAAACGTGAAGTATGAGGAAGTTGCCAACACAAAGTGCTTTTATACTTTTCAGAAATAATGATAGATTTGTGAGAACTAGCAGGGCAAAGAGGTCTCTAACTAAGGTAGTAAATTCTAGAGAGATCACGGATAGATATGTCAGGGAGTTTGTTTACTCAGATTCATTGCAGCCCCATGTATCCATCTTCTGGCAATAAAGACTGTTTTCTTACCCTGATGGAGGAGGATACCTATCACAGTGGAATTTTATGACTTGCTAACTATATGTCAAAGGGCACATGTATGCATGTTTGATGGGTCAAACGGCCTTTTCCGCAGGTACTATTCCTCATTTGATTTCTGCTTAGAATAATCCATAAACCAGTTAGATATATTTGAGGATTGTACTTCCTTAGCTTCATCACCACCTTCTGCCTAATAATTTTGTGATGCCTTAAGGCATTTATTCTGCAGATCTCTGATACAGAGCCAGGCCTTGTACTGACAAATTTATCCTCATCTTGCAGCTATGTGGAGAGTGTCCTGTCCTGGTCACTGTAGCTCATGCTGGGGCCAGGCCTGCTGTTCTAGCCTGCAAAGCAAATAACTTTCTATTGGTCCTGAATGGCTTTCCTCAGTCTCTTTTCATGAGAGATGTGGCTCTATCTTAGACTCAGACCCAGATAATCACATACCAAACTCAATTTTGTGCACCCCCACCCCTAAGCATGAAATGATTCCAGTCCCTTATCACATAAGATCAAACTGGTATCTGCCTTTATTTAATTCAAATCCAGCAGCTAGTGAGTTTAGACCTCTGTCTAGCTCTCTGTTCTGTTTCTGATCATAGATTGTAATATATTCTTATTTTCTAAATTTTGCTTTTTTTTTGAGAGGTTTTTGCTATAAGGCGCGTGCCTTCTTATTTTCTAAATTTTATATGCTAATATCCTA